CCCCAAAACCCCAAAACCCCAAAACCCCAAAACCCCTCATTGTTTCAAATGTTAAATGCATATGAAATCTAAAATTAACTTAATCAGAATAAAACATATATTAAGTCTTCAATGTCCATGCTACCATCTGAGTATGATGACATAAAGTTTTCAATGTTAAACCATCTTGATTTTTATGAGCCATCACTCATAAATGTATGGCTTTAAGATTTATCTTCATTCTTTTCATAAGTGATGATATTAAAATGTTCGAAATTCTCCCAAATTGCCCCAAATAGTTCCACTCTCTATTGATTATCCATTTTCATGTTACTCAATGCATATGAAAGCATTCTCTTAACCTGTTTCTCACTAGCAAACCTTTAAATACCACTTATTTATCCATTACTGTCATTATTACCTTCAACTATTTCCTCATCTGGAAATGAAAGAATCTAAAATTTATAAATACCAAATCAGCTTACATTTCCAATTAGTTAAATATTTTCTTCCTTGCTTGCTTTTTTATCTATGAAAAAGTACCTTAATTTCAAGTACCCTTCCAAATCAACGACTTTCATTCTAGGCTGATTTTCATTTTTGCTATCTACTTCCATCAATTTCACTTAAAGTATTTTCAGAATGATCTCTAAGATGTTTTTATTGATCTTTCTAAGCTGTTTAAAGTTAGCTAAAAGGGTTTTGAAATCTATGAGTTGCTCGGATTGCACAAATTTGTTAATGTAATTAGAGAAATCATTTTCATTTATAGAATCAAGATGGTGTACGCCAACTTATACCTTTCCAATGTCTATGTTTTCCTCTTGAGACTTAATCATCAAATAATGGAATCTAAAGATCTACTCAATGTCATCAAAGTTATATGAGAATTAGCTAAGATATCCACTTAAGTATGTATTAGATAGAATCAGGTTTCTTATGAATTTGCTTTTATTATATAGGAAGTTACTAATTTATCTTTTATTTTTAGTTACCAACTATTGATTTAGACTCATGAGTTCAACTGGTCTTTTCTTATTCATTTATATTATTGATGCTTTAGTTGAAACAGATGTTTAGCTATTTGCTGAATTAAGATTTGAATTCATTTTAAAGGTCTTTTAGTTAGGAATTTAAAGCCCCATTTAAGCTAGTGTCTCTCCAATAGTATGATTTCCTTTAATACTTCTCAGATTTGGGACAGATTTAGTATTATTAAGAGTTGTGCCGGGTTTTGCTGTTAAATTTCCTTGCTTTTCTCGTAATCTTAGGTTCAAAGACTAGAGCTTTTCATGGTATTCATTTGAATTGTTGTAATGTTTCATAAAAAAGTCTTTCATCTCATCAAGATCATAGTTACCATCATGCTTTCCGATATCTGCAGTTTTTTTGGAGGTGTGTAACAAGGTGCTTACACTCTAGGAATTGTTAAGCATGCCTGAATGATGATTCAAACTATTGTTTGCACCTACAGAGTGGCCATGTCTTGATTAATCTATCTTTGGTAATGTAGTCTTATAAGCGCCCTTAAATTGATCAGGAGAGATGTTCCTTGAAGTTTCAGGTGGAGTTAATCTAATATCATTGAATTTCAATTGCTCATCCTTCCTCTCTTTATTATAGTTCTTAGCTCTTTCTTTATTTACATCTTTGAATAGCATTCTATTTTTACCAACGGCAGACGCTATCATTTTTGGCATTTAAGGTAAAACTGGGATTGATGACTCAATCTTTGCATGTGGATTTCCCTTATATAACTCCCTAATTCTTTTCTTGATTCTGATTTGCAATTCTTTAAACCTTCTCTTTCTACCAGCCTTTAAATCTTCATCATCATCGAAAAAAGCTTCTCTTATTCTAAACGCATTAAGTTTTAGTTCTCTTGTCCTTGAGACTGGGAAATTTTCAAGCAAATTATTAAGCTTAATTACTGGATCTTCAACATCAGGGTTGAATGTTGTAATGAACTTATGAAGTTTCTCACCTTCTTTTGTGGATGTTTCAAAGTCAACCAAAAATGCATACTTCTGATTATTTGGAATTTCATGAAAATGATCTAGTATTTGGCCATTTTAACTATAAAGCTAATATACTTCTAGACTACTGAAGGATTTAAATAAAAGATCTCTAGTCAGTTATGTTACTGAGAGATAGCAGAAGGGATGCTGGAATATTCTCAGTCTGGAATTCTTATTTCCTTTCAGCAGTTACTCTCTCGTTTGAGTTGATACTCTTTCAAATTATCCTAGATTATCAACTATATTTAGCTTTCTATTATAGCTGTATTCTTTTTAGGCAGTGGTTTCACTGACTTAACTTGCATCGTCTTATTCTTATTTTTGGTTTTCATCTTCATCACTTGAACACCCCTCATTGACAATATCTATCAGAGTCTGTTAATATACATCTTTGACAAACTGCTTGAATTCCTCTTCAGTAACTCCATTGTTCTCTTCCTACTCGAAATTTTCAAGTTCTTTCTCAGCTATCTAAATCAATGGGGCGAATTCCTCTGATTTATTGGCCTTAGGGATTATAATGTCCAAATTATACATCTATTTAAAATTTGAAGTTAAAATAATGAAGAGCTTTAAAGTCCTAAACTTTGAGAGACCAGCATTCTCAATAATAAATTCGAAGTGACTCTACTCTAAGTTCTGATCTTTAAAGTTGACTTTAGCTGTCACCTTTTTTTTGACGCTCATGCTCATTTATTATAATAAATTAATAAAATGGGAATATATTAGTAAGTTTATCAATTTACACTTATTTTTGAAACATTTAAACATAGGACCTTAATCTGGGTCAAATATCAGCATAATGATATCAATAACATGGATTAAGAGATGGAATCGGTGATTGAACGACTTCTCAAGAGCGGATTAGAGTTGTAACATGAATGGAATGTGGAAATATCAATATTCAAGAATGAGACATATCAAAAGACCATTTAGCAGATAGATTTACATTTAGAGGATAATAAAGGCAAAATACCTCCAGAGGAAGAGGCTAATATTCAGCAATTTAAGTAAGAAGTACATTGAAATTTAATGATCAATAGAGATACTTTAATTTATCAGGCTTATACAGTGAAAGATTCAGAATTTCCAGGATTGATTTATACGCTGACAGAATCTAACTCAAGATTTGTAAATTAATGAAAACTTATTCCTATTTCAGAACATAATAACTTCTAAAGATAAGATGAATCAATTTTTAACAGCTACTGATACTTACAAATTCAGAAAGAAGGCATTCATTAAAGTAAAATAACCATAATCCTTACTAAAAATAGGGATTCTCATTTAAGTATGGAGATATGATTGTAAAAGTAGGATCGTTTGTTATTGATTATCCAAAGTATTTAATTATTCAGCTTGAATACTTGCCTTATTCTGTTAGCAAAAAGAAAATTGAAAGATAAAGGGAACTGTAAGAGAAAATAGACCTTATTATGGAGGAGTTAGGAACGTTTGCATTAAGAATTGATAAATAAAAATACATCTAGTTAATGCTCAAAATTAATTAAGCAGATATCAATAAACTACCACAAAATTAGAGACCAGAGATAAAGATTGAAATTGAAGGGGTTAAAGATAAGTTTTTGCAATATATTCTCACATTAATTAGTTGATTTCATAAAATACTAAAAATGCAACTCTGATGGGGTTTTGGGGTTTTGGGGTTTTGGGG